TGACGAAACATGCATGTGGGGCAGGAATGACGAGGCGGGGGGCAGAATAACAGCTGTAAATATTATTTGCTAAAACCTTGGGAAGCCACAGCCTAATATTTCTGTTAATCTATTTTTCCTTTAAAAAGTCAACAAAACACAGTCATCGAAGTTTAAAACAGGTCCATTTATACATATTACTGTTTTTAAAAAGCTGGCTTAAAATCTGACAGCATAGAGATTGTTGAAATATCCTCTTTTTCCATTATTTATTTATTTTTTATAAATTTGCTTTTTTTAAAAAAGATTTTTATTTATTTGAGAGAGAGGCAGAGATAGCGAAAGAGATAGTGAGAGAGAGCACATGAGTGGGGAGGAGAGAGAGAAGCAGGCTCCCAGCTGAGCAAGGAGCCTGACGTGGGGCTCAACCCCAGGACCCTGGCATCATGATCTGAGCCAAAGGCAGACACTTAACTGACTGAGTCACCCAGGTGCCCCTCTTTTCTCATTTTTAAAAGAGAAAATTCTTATATGTTGGCTCTGCAAAGTGAACCTTTTAATTTTATAGAAAAAGAGTTTATATAGCAGGCTCCACACTCAGTGGCCGGTAGAAAGCTTACTTATTTGGAAGTGGTTTTGAGAGCTAACTCGGTGCTCACGTGGGCATTGGGAGAGAGAACAGGAGGGGATAGCCTTACCCTAACCCTGGCTTAAAGTCCAGGAGGGGAGAGACAAGACTTGTGCAAGTGAGCACACACCTGAATCAGTCGCCTGAACAAACAGATGCTTCTGGGAGAGGTCGGTAGAATTATGCTGCATTTCTACATCTGTAGATATAACCAGAGTGGCTTCCCGGCTCTGGGCCATGTGACATCCAGAGGTTGGCAGAGGGTTAGAATCTGTCAAGGGGATTAAAATTAAAGGCAGTAGGAAGCAAGGCGGGGGGAGCAAAGGCAGGAGCTTACTGGGTCCACCTTTTGGTGGGGGAATGCTAAGCCTTTGGGATGGGGGCTGCATAGACACCCAGGGACTGCAGGGGGCTTCTTTTGGGGGGGGCAGTGAAGGCAGAAGGGAGGGAGGGGTCTAGCCACTGACGTTGGGCCATGATGCCTCCATCCTAGGAGGATGACCACATCCTCCCTCGGTCCAAGCCTTCCATGTTCAAGGATGAGGCCTGTGCTGTGCCTGCACATGGCAGTTCACAGAGTGGTAGAGAAGCAAAGGTGGGAAAATGAAGCAAGAAATTATACATAAATGATGCACTTGGTCTAAAAGTCTGATGAAAAGCCCCAGGTCATCAGTACATAGTGGCCCTATAAATAACCCTAAAGGAGGATTTTGAAAGATTGCTTGGTTCAAGTCTGCACCTTCAGGCAGGATCACACTCCCAAGAAGAAGAAAATAATCTATCCATTACATATATATATATTTAACAAATTATAGAACTCCATGTCTGTATTTTAATTCAGCAAGGTTGAAGTAGTCCCCAAGATCTAATATATGAAGCTATAGATCTAATTCTCCTGAAGTTCTTTCAAAATTTATTTCTCGGCTCAATATATGTGTTGTATATATTTTTGCTTAGGTTGGCAAATGCAAGATTTTACTATTTCTATATCACCAATGGAGATGGGACACTGAGGAATGGAGAAGCTTTGCCAAGGTCTCTTGGAAAACCATTGTTCATGTCAAGGACTCAAGTTCTAAGCTTCTGGTTCATGACTCCATCTTCCATGTAATATAGTGTTTGGTTATATGGGTCATATAATAGGGCCACATGGATTCTAAAAGGCAGGAGAGAACAGGCAGGAGGCAGGAAGGAACCTGGAAAGTTTGGAAGGAGTGAGTGAGGTGTGCGTGTATACGTGTGCATGTATGTTTCATCACCGTTTCAAGCAATGATTCTCAAACTTGACTGTTTATCAGAACCACCTGGAAAGGTTTAAAGACCATCCACTTACTGTCCTTGTCCCTTGGGATTCCAAGATGAGGTCCAGGGAGTCTTTGCAACCCTTGGTCCGATGGCTGGTCTTGTGGCGGCACCACTCCCCCAAGATGATGGATGGGGCTGGGAGCTGTAGTCCAAAGGCCCACCTGCTGGGGAATGATGGAAGGAGCACTCAGTGCCCGAGTGCCCATGTAGCTGACCCCCGAGCAGACCTGGAACCAGGACTGTGTGGCGTGCACCCCTGAATGCATCCTGTGTAACCCACGGGTGCTGATTTCCCACAGCTGCTCAGTTCTCTCTCTGTGGCCACACTCACCTTTGCTTTGTGTTTGAGACAGACAGCTCCCCAACTCATTGATAGGAGATAACAGTGTTACAAAAGGTATCTTGGGGAAATTAGCAGGGTTAAGTTGCATGCCACATGGCAAATACCAATCAAATTTGCCTTAAGATGCATCTATGCTTCCCCTAAAAGTCTTCTTTGGCACTTGTTATGGCATCTGTAATAGTTTGCTGGGGTCGCCATACCTAAGTGCCACAGGCTAGGTAGTTTAAACGATAGAAATTAATTTTCTCACAGTTCTGGAGGCTGGAAGCTGGAAGACCAAGGGTTGGTTTCTCCTTGGCTTGTAGATGACCATCTTCTTCCTGTGTGTTCACAGGGTCCTCCTTCTGTAATGGGTCTGTGTCCTAATCTATTTTTCTTATATGGACGCCAGTCCTATTGGACTAGGGTCCACCCATATGACCTCATTTTAGCTTATGTACCTCATTTTAGCTTACGTACCTCTTTTAAGACCTCACCTCTAAATACAGTCACGTTCTGAGGTACTGGGAGTTAGAACCTCAATATGTGAATTTTGGAGGGGACTCAATTCTACCAATATCATCTATCTTCTATTCTATAGCCTTTATGACCCCCTGATTTGTTCCAAACAATTGCACACTCTATGCAGCAAAGCCTCAGCCCAGCCTGGACACCCATTCTGGCCTCTTCCCTGGAAACTCCAGCAACCATTCACTGCTCCTCAAACCCCCTGATGTTGCAGATTGATATGCGCATCTGTGTCATGAGAAAATTCATGTCTGTACCACAACCAGGCCAACAGAGCACGGCTGGTTCTCTGTATATCCTCTATTTGTCCCCTTTGCCTGAGCATAGCCTACAAAACCACATGTGGGACCCTGTCTGGGTTGTGTCTGGGAGGTATCACTCTCCACCTCCAAGCGCTGGGTGCTCAAATCCCAGGCAGGCTTTCCCTGGGGAAGGTGGAAGATGCGGTTCTGCTCTTCACGGAGAGAAGTGAACACTGCTCCCCTTCCTCTGGTCTGCTGTGCCTCTCGGCAGACCCGTCCTCCCCTGTCTCCCACCCCTCACCACCTGGGGAACCCCAAAGGCATCCTGGCTAGGCCCTCCCACGTGTGAAATTGGGGACAGGGAGGGGACAGGGAGTGAGAAGATGCTGTCAGGATGTGCTAACAGGCAGATCTTTGTTTGCAAAAGCTTTGTGTGGTTGGGGTATGTGAATATGTGTATACACATATACAGAGAGAGGGTTATTGTAATGAATACACATATCCTCCCATTGAAAGGGACCTTTCTCTAGACACATTCCCACGGAAAGCGGCTATAAATTAAGAAGATTGGTTCCCATGAGCCATACTTTTTGCTGCTTCGTGTTTGTGTTCCTCACGTGCGTGCCGCAGAGACAGGCTCTGGGCCAGGGCTCTGGGCCCAGGCCTCCTCGGGCAGTCTGTAGTGGCTGGTACCCATCTGGGGATGTGTGGCCTTCCACTCACTGAGGTGGACCCGAGAAGGGAGTTGACAGGAGAAGCCACCATAGCAATGGCAGGTAGGAGTTAATGGAGGGAATCAGAGATGGACCCGAGCTTAGTGTTGGTCCGTCCCGCAGCTGTCGGTCCACTGAGTCTCCCCCTGTGGGGGATGGATGAGGCCCTCCCGGGGGTGGGGGGGGCATCTGAATAACAACGACCTACTTTCTCATGTACTTACCCACATGAGCTACTAGGTAGCTGTCACTTGGATATGCTTGTCTCCGGAAGGTCCTTTGAGGAGTTACTAGTCATCGTTTGGAGTATCTGCTGTGACAGAGCCTCACTGTTTTCCAGCTGAGGCTCCTGCTTGAACCTGAGCCCAAGGTGAAGCTGGCAAGTTGCAGGAAGGTGACCTGACCAACCTCGGGCCGAGGAGACGGGCAGCGACACGCACCTCGTGCTCTGCTTCAGCCACGATCCCTGCTGTGAAAGTCAAGGCTTCACTTGGATGCTGGGAAGATTCTTCAGGGTCTCCTAAGTCCAGGCACAAGGAGGGAACCTCTTTACAGAGAGGCTGCGGGCTGCAACAATGAAGCCATCAGCAGGGTCCACGGTCCTGCCCACATCCTCTTCCCAATGCTGGCGAGGTTCTGACAACCCCCCAGATAGGGCTGGGGACCTTCTCCGTCATCACAGCATGACTCTCCAACCCATGTCCCAGAGCTGCTGTGACCTCCCACCAAGAGAGGATGTGCCCGGGGTACAAGCATCCTGGCAGAGTTGGGGGTGGGGTGGGGGACAGTGGAAAACCTTCCCCCAAAAGGCTGAGGTTTGTGCCCTGAAAAACAGGGGAGGCTGCCGCTCCTGGAGGAGAGCATGGGCTGCTGTTTCCAGAACTGGCCTTCCTTCGAAAAACAAACCTTCTTTCCACTGACATTGAAAACGTATTTTCCATGAATCTAAGTCCTATACCCTTGAATTAATAAACAACGGCAAGCCTGTGATGATCTCTGTATGTGATGACTTTGACCTTTAAAAACAAAACAAAACAAAACAAAACAAAAAAAAAAACTAGCTGTTCCTTCTCTCCCTGGCGGAATTTGGAGCAGAGACCTCGCTGGCTTCCCGCTTCGCTCCACTAGGTGGCCCCTCGTGCTCTCAGATGTCTGCAAGGAGTGCAGACAGGTGAACGGATCTCATTGGCTTACAGGAGGCATGATGCCACCGGGCAGCCCTTTTTAAGAGAAAAGCCAGGACCAGTGGAATAGCGACCCTGAGCAGCGTCCTGGGTGCTGAGCACAGTGCCGAGCACAGGGACCCCGGAGCTGTGGTGTTAGAACAACATGAGTGAGGTGAGTGGTGCTGTAACTTGCAGGGGGAGACTTGGGGTTGGGAAGGGACGGGGCCACAGTTGGTCTCGGAAAATGTGAAGGGTTTCCGAGGGGCGATGGAACACAGATCAGCCCTGTGACTATCTGCTTTGAGGGCTGACACTCTTGACATCTTGGTTGGGACGGCAGGTGCAGACCCCGGTCAAGTTTGCAACTTTTGAAAATTTGCCTTAGAAAGAGAAAGGGTTTCATTGTGTGCTTCTGATTTCATTGTGACTTTGGAAAGTGCTTTGGGTGTGAGACCTCCCGACAGAAAGCCGATGGTCTTGGCGTCTCCGGAGGTTTGTGTGGTTTCCCGCTTGTCCTCACGTGTTTGCTTTGGGGGATACCTTGCGGAATGTTGGCAGGCAGGCCATCTGGTGACAGTCAGGCTTGAGAGAGAAGCAGGGGAAGGATTTCACGGCACAGCCGTGTGGAGGCACAAACTCTATCTGCAGTTAATCAGAGCACCAGTAAAAGAGGCAGATCGCCCGGTGACAAATCTGCCTGTGGGGTTGGGGCTGGAAGATAGGGCAGACCTGGACAGAAGACCAGCTACAATGTTCCGTTGCAAGTCCCGTCTCTGAGTATGTTTCTATAGAAGAGATTTTGTTGGGGCAAACTGATAGCTCATTTTATTTTAGGAAGATCATGTTCTCTTTCTTTCTTTTGAATGAAGCAGGTTTGCGGGTGTACAAACTGCCCCCTAATTCAGCTCAATAACCGAGACAAGTCCATTGTCATGTCCTTTGGGTCGGCCCTTAAATAATTACTTTTAAAGACCTTTTGTATTCTCTATCCTTTTTTTTTTGACAGCTGGGTGATCCTTTTTTTGGAAGTCTAGAGTAAAATTAACTCCAGAAATAAGAGGCACCTTCACTACGTTTCTCTCTCTGATGGGTGACTTTTGATATAAACATGACAGGAAGAAGGGGGGGGTGAAGCATATATGGTTTAGGAACGGGGTTTGGGACGGAGTGAGGACAAGGGAGTGTGGGAGGAAGATGGGAGGCTGGGAGCCTTCCTGCCACGGATACAGCTGGGAGCTCCAGTAACACCAGGGCACTTCACTTTTGCCTGTTCTTAGCCCCCAGCTCCGCGTCTAGCGCTCCACTCCTGTTACCTCATTTGCCTCCCCAAATCCCGTGAGGGAGGTGCTAGTATTATTCCCAATTGACAGATGGGGACACTGAGGCACAGAGAAGTTCAAGGTCAGCTGGTTCCACATCAGAGGCGAGTGAAGGGCGGGACTCAGGCTTTGTGGCTGGCGGCTGGCCGCCGGGTGGATCTCAGGGTCCAGAGAGCCTTTGGAGCTCTCTGAGCACTGGGTGCCACCGAAGGAAGGGGAGAAAGAGGAGCTGGGGCCTGAAGCAGAGAAAGGGCAAGGAGGACCTGGCCTCCGGGTCCCTAGGCTTTTTGCTGGACTCCATGAGATTTCAGAGGCTTCTAGCCTGTGTCAGCTCACCCTGCTCCCAATGAGAAGTGATGGTTGGGGAGAGTGGGTCTGTAAATATACAGATTAACAGTTTCAGAGAGGAGGAGTCAGAAAACAGTAGAGCAACTGGGGGTCCTTCCTCCGTAGTTCGCTGCTCTGGGTTCTTCTGGAGTGTTGGTGCTCCTGTTGGCTCTCACCCCATCTTTAGCTGGGGCTGGTGGCCAGCATCATACAGGCGAGCTTTCTAGAATGCCTCCGCGGTGTTCACCTAACTGTGGGTCCCCAGGGAGAGAGCAAACGTCCCAGAGCTTAGCCCACGATTAGGGTCACAACCTCGTTTCTGCTGAATGTGAAATTAGGGCAGCTCTGCGGTCGCGCCCTGCCCCCCCCCCATTCCCTCAGACATGGTAGCAGGCCGCTGCAAAAGCTTCCATTAATGTTGATAAAATCCTGCAGGAGGCACATCGGCCTTTGCTCCAACCACACCCCTTCTAGCCCCCTCCTCCACCTTTCTCCCCTCCTGTCCCTCCTGCGCCCAGCCCCCCTTCAGCCACAGGCAGCGCTAGTCCTCTGGCCACCAGCTGGGTGACCAGCTCTCTGGCCGGTCCCCAAGTTTCCGGGCGTGTGTCCCTCAGAGAGTGGGAATTTGTCCTTTCACTAAAACTTAAATCTGCTTAAAACATTTAATAAAGTCGAACAGAAGCTCCTTTCTGGGTAGAACACTGAACCTCTCCCCACCCCAAAGCTTTTCCTTAGTTGGATGAATTACATGTGGCTTCTTGTTTTAATAGCTCTCAGGCAGGGATGGATTTCAGATGATCGTTTACTTACTCATGTAACTAAGTACTACGGAGGGCCAGAGCAATGGATTTTGTCAGGCTTTCCTCTGACTTTAGGATATTTTTGAGTCTGGTGGGCAAGTAGCGCCTGCTCCTTTCGGCAGGCTTTGGGGCCCGCTGCAGAAATCGCCGAGCTCACAGCTGCTCCCTTGGGCCGCACTGGAGCTGGGCCGGGAGGAGAGGCCCCCAGAGGGTCAAGTGCTCCCTGGGTGGGCCCTGCTCCTCCAGCTCTTCTAGCTTTTAGGGGGAAGGCGGTGAGGGGTGGAGACTTGGGGACTGAGCTGGCTTTCAACTTGTGACTCGACGATGCAGTGTCATCTCTATCCCCGGTGACAAGGCTTTTTGCGGGAATGGTGATTGAAAAGAGCAGCTCAAGTATAGTGAAGAAAGTCAAGTCCAAATTTAGGGCACCGAGAGAGTGGAGGTGGTTTGTGGGGGTGTCCAATTTACATTTCGGGATTAAAGTATGTCAGATGGGCCTGGAGATAATTTAGTAGGAATCAAAATGCAGGTTAAGGTGCATTCATTGGATCAGAAATCCCAACCACCAAGGCTGAAGTTTACAAAGTGCTTCTCTTCTCTCTTCAACTAGAACCCCGCACAGGAGAAGAAAAAGACTCCCCTTGTTGAGCCACCAAATATGAGTCCCATGAACAATGACAGTCACTCCCATTTTCTCCTGCAGGTGTGAGTTTTTAAGTTGCTCTTCAAAAGAACTTATTTAGGAGAGCCAGGAGCAAAATTTTAATGCGATAAAGGCACACATTTGGAGAACCAATTTAAAAAATGACACCCACCATCATCTTATTTGAGAGGGGGTAGGGGGAGCTCCCGTTGCATAATGCATCGGTTGGCAGTTATTAATTAGACCTGAGACCCCTTTGAGAAAATGTCTTCCTGTCACTGCTCTTTTCTTGCATCGGCTTGGATGGGATGTTGCAACTCGGCGCCAGGGTTACGAGCTTTCTTTCATCCAGACACTGCCCACAAAAGGACTGTGCCCATCAGAGGCATGGTGGGAACACACTGAGGACATTTAAGGGCAAATTTTTAGACCCACACGCCTGTCCTTAGCACAGCATCAGAAGCTACTGGCTACACATTAAATCTCTAAAGAAGGAAGAGAACAGTGGACAACATTGTCTGGAGAGAGATTTGCAAGGGGAGGGTAAGCTCACTTAAGTCTTGGGGTGGGGGCTTAGAAAGGATAGGATTTTTTTTTTCAAAAGTAGCCATTGGATTGTTCAAACATCAACTGTACTATTCGAATGTTTACATAGCTCGTGCTACTTACCTAATTTTTAATTAATAAATATAAAAGCATTGCAAAAAAAAAAGTAGACATTGGTTAAAAAATATCATATGACACTTGCTTGGGACTTACCTTGTCAGTCATCAGGGTAACCGATTGCCAAGAAAAATTGTAGGAAACAGAACTGAAATGAGAATTATTAGTCATGTGATTCAATATGACATCATAGTGAACTATAGCAATTGCTAATGGACAGGTGATCAGGTTTGCAGAGAACTGTGTGGTTTAGACCAGTTAAGCACAGATTCTGAGGGTAATTGCATAAAGTGGATTTTACAACTGGCCGCAAAGACCTAGCAACAGAAGTCCAAATGACAATTCAATTTCTTCTGTAATTTTAACCTCATTTGGGGGTGGACCAGCAGCAGGGACATAGGAAGATCCAGCAAGATCCACATGGTTTTACTGGATCACACCAGGTTAGACACTCTCTCTACTCTAACTGAGGATGTTAGGTCTAGAAAGACACCAGTTCCAACTTCGGTTCTAAGTTCAACTTTTCCGGAGTGCGAAGAGGTCATAATTCAGCCTGGAAATATATTTGCTGGGCTGATGGTTGTAGTGGATTGCCATAAAATATGTTCCCCCGATCCTGCATTTCATTAACGAATGGTGTGAGATTAAGAAGTCTCACTGTTTTCCTCTTTTGAATTCTAAGAATGACAGAATGCAAGATGTATTTTTTTTTCAGAAAGAAAAATTGAAGAAATGACTCACACTTGATTTTATTAAGGGTTTAGTTGAATAGTGTGATCAAGATGAAAAGGAAATGCTTTTTTTTTTTTGTCAGGGAAAGTGCCTTGAATTTATGATGAATACGTTCTCTGCATTATTTTTTTAAATTATAATTTCTGCCTCGGTGCTTCATTAGAGGTTTTGTCATGGGAGGAAGGCATTCACAGTTTGTCTGTGGTCCTTCTGTCCTCAGCGTACTTGGTGCACCATGCTATTTGAACACCTGAATAATATCATGAGCCCAAGCCAGGGGCTTTTCATTAATTTAGAATGGCTTTCTAGAAAGGGCTTCTCACTGCGGGGGATGAAGGACTTTAGAGGATGTATACGCAGAGATCTATGTTATATTTGGCTGATGGTTTTGTAAAACCCAGCGTCCAAGCTCATGCTGTTATGTCTGTCTGTTTGGGCTGCTATAAGAAAGTGCCACAGTTGAGTGCCTTATAAACCATAGACATTTATTGCTCACAGTTCTGAAGGCTGGAAGTCTGAGATCAGGGAGCCAGCTTGTTCGAGTGAGAACCCTCTTCTTGGTTCATAGACAGTCATCTCCTTTCTGTGTCCTCATATGGTGGAAGAAGGGACAGGGAACAGCCTGGGGTCTCTTCTGTGAGAGCCCGAGTCGCATTCGCGGGAGCTCCCCGCTCATGACCTAATGCCT